ACCGGTAAGAGTAAATACTATAATTGACTTTATTGAGTAAGATTGTAGTCGATCAAACGGTACAATATATGCAATAATTTACTCGATAAGGGCTTATTAGATAAGAATCGGCACCCTCACTTACAGGATAAGAGTAGGGATGGTGATTTGCCCCGACCCGGCGGGGAACCCGGTTCACCCTACCCGAACGGGGACGGGGATTCCCCGCTAAAACGGGTCCCGGGGCCAGGGATCCCCGGTATAATCAAACTAAAGCATACTTTTTACCGGGTTTTGACCGGGGTTTACCGGGTTTTGACCGAGGATTGCTAGAATTTGACCGGGGACGAGATGATAATCCCCGTACCCGCCGGGGACCGGGGCCGGGCCCGGGGGACGGTATTACAAACCGGGGTCGGGGCCGGGGATTACAAAACCCGTCCCATCCCCACCCCGTTGCCATGCCTAGATAAGAGTCTCCATCCTTATCATAGCTTTTGCTAGATAAGATTAATGGCATTTAGTAAGCACTTGCCATAAGGTAAATTGACCCGGTAAGCACTTACTGGACAAACATTTAGTAAATGACCCCTAAATTAATATTTTATATATATTTATTTCCAATATTTATAGTTTATTTATAGTCGAAGATTCAACTTCCTAATTAGAGGTCTCCTACATTAGGCCTATAAATACTACGGTCTACATGTATTAGGGTTTTTTTTTCCAGTTTTGGTTTGAGTTATATAAAAGTCTCCCGGAATGGGTTTGTTTGAGTATTTTAGATTCATTTGTGAATTTGGTCATGCAATCATATGGATTTGTCATCATCTGGTCAGGCCCGTTCCTAACATTTTATGGGCCTTGGGCGAGCGATAGAAGATGGGCCCTCCATATGAATGGAGTCACTAACAAATCTCAAACAAATGTTTTCTTTATCATCAAAAGTATAAGTGCATGCAATAAATAATGATACTTCATGCAAAACAACTTCTTCGAGTGGAGGACTAGGAGTATAAAAACAAATCTATGATAAAAAACACAAAAAAAAAACATAGACCATATATACTGTACCCAAATTTTTTATAAAGTCATCGACCATTTTAGCATTTTGATAGTAGCCACTAGCCACTAGTGACTAGCCAAGCACACTATCACAAATTCATATACACAGTAGCCAATACATATAAACAAAAGTACTGCAGCATGCTAACAACCCACAATTCAACTCTGCCCTAAAAGAACTTTTAATCAAAACCTTGTGTCTACAGTTCAACCTTGAATTTGATGGAATGGCAGGTTGAGTACCTTAGTTGGCAGTCAAAACTGAAACTCTTTTTGCAATCTTATTGGAGTATACAACTGGAACTGAAAATGGATGGAGAGATATGTTTGGTAAACTGACTTAAGAAGGCAGAAAAGTGATGTTTTAGAAACCATTGGATTTCTTAATGTTATGGACTTATTTTTCTAGTAGTAGTAAACGGCCCAAACACAATAGCCAAACACAATAGCCAAACACACAAATTGACAAAACCATACATCATTTTCTTTTTATTAGATTGAACAATTGAAGTTTGAAACTCAAGGTCTTTCAAATCCACAAACAAAAATACAGAGAAACTAGCAAAAACATCAAATTAATAATTAACATTTTTAAGCAAAAGCTTATCTTCCGGACAAGAATCTCGATTTAGATTTCTCGTTTTGTTGTAGTGAAGAGAAATTGAACATGAAATTGGTTGTTGAAATCACAATATCAAATCAGAAATTTAGAACCAAAAAGTGAGATTTGAGAATTCAGATGTTGGAGATTGGAGAAAAGTTATGTCAATCCGTCAGTATTGAATCGAACTCGAAAGATATAAAGAACCATAAATTAAAGATTATCATTGCAACAAAATCCATGGGATTCTCCATTGTGATTGAAGACCGTTGCTGGAAACTGGAAGGTTGGCATCAACCTGAGCAGATTTATTGGATACATGCAATGCGAAGTAGAAGGAAGGAAGACGAAGAGATTTTCTTGGTTTTCAATTGTCACGTCTTCGATCTGATTAGTTAGAACTTCAATTAAGTTTGGGGTTCGGCCCAAGGTTTAAACATTTTATAACATATAATGTATAACTATTTTTTTGGGCCCCTATTTTCCATGGGCCCTAGGCACAAGCCCAACCCGCCCTCCCTCCCTCAGGAACGGGCCCGCATCTGGTATAAGAGCTTCTAGTGTAATGGCCAATATGGAGTTCGAATTTGTGGTGCTAGCAATAGCCGAAGGTAGATGTGGTGGCACCTCAATATAAACAATGCAAGAGACATGTACGACCCACATGATATATATATTGATTGTCACTTACACGGGTGATAGAATTCGAGCTTTAGCAAGACTCATAGATAAAAGATATGAAATCTGAATCAAGCTTCTAGAACAAATAGGAAGATGACGTCAATGCTTTTGTCGACCCTAAAGTTTTTCGTTGTAACAACTGTGATGACCTTTTGGAGACATTATAATGAAGATCGAAAACTCGGAATTTGAAGGTAGAGCACACCCTAATGACTTTATTGAATGTAATTTTGATTGAACATGTTTCCAACTTGCGAGACATACCTGATGACTTAAAGGTGAAGTTCATAGCCATCAAGCTCAAGAGACATGCTTCAATTTGGTGGGATCATGTGAAGAAGCATCAGTATTTGGTAGGGAAGTCTAAAGTTAGGACTTGGGAGAAGATGAATAAGTTCTTACAAGTCAAGTTTTTGCCATTAAATTATTGATAGGAAACCTTCCTCGGCTATCATAATGTCTCACAACGTGAGTTAATAGTCAAAAAGTTCATTAACGAATTCGATCGATTAAAAATACGATATGATCCACAGAAGAGGACGAGTAGACTGTAGTGAGGTTTTTGGGCGCCCTTCGACCTAAAATCTCCAATATTATGTTTCTCCAACAGTGTAAGACCCATAAAATTAGAAAATAACTAACAATTTAAAATTTTCAAATTTCTTCAAAGTGATACGAGGTTAAAGACGAATTACTTAAATATTACAACTGAAGGAGAACAAATATGCAACAAAGTCTAAATGGAACAATCTAATGCTCGTATAGAATTAAGTAGGCCGGGGGTTACTAAAACCATCAAGTCTGCTATATTCAAAACTGGATGATGCCTCTAAAGCCATCAAACTAGAACCTCTACAAAGCTCCGAAAGTCACTCAGATCCCACTAAGACCTGATATATATGTCGATAAGAAAAAAATGTTAGGCTTAATGCCTAGTGAGTTAAAGGAGCTTAAAATATAAGCATAAAAAACAGTAAAACTGCAAGATTTCCCTTTAACCACCCATTCCTTTATTTAAAATCGCATTTAAAATCAAAATGGAGTATCTTCACAAAACTCACCATTTTATATTGAAATCCAATAATCAAAATGCCCGTTTTAAATTAAAATCCGACTTCCAAACCCACCCCAAAATAAGTGTATATGAGTCATCTCACAAACCACCCAAAAATATAAATAATGTTTTGTACCCCAAATCAGTAAAAAACATAGATAAACTCAACATCCAAAACAACACATTTCTGTGATTGGGGAGACCTATTTCCATCAACTATGATGAAATACAAAGTAAGTCATGCAACAATGTTATCAAGTAGTACCATAAGGTCACAACCCCCGGTATCTAACTCCTCTCAAGTTTCCACCGCAATATCCAAGATGTCGAAGCTCATTCCCACACGCGTTCATCTCCGCAATACCCCTAACCTTAGTGCCTACTTACACATCATACCTACAAGCCAATGGTTCTAGGGCTCGATACCACACGAGTTCATCCCCAAAAATCCGACTTCGAAGAAAGGGTAGAAGAATGGGACCCATCTGATATGTTTTTACCAAAGGGAAGTGGAGATCCCTTTCCTTTATACTCAACAATTTGTTATAGAAGCCATACCCATCATATCTTTCTCATATCACCATCATATATTTTGACCATGCATATGGGGATATTTGACAATTTTTAAATGGCTTGGCACAGAATGATTAAGAGACTTCAATAATATGCAAAATAAAGTATGGTTAAGTTGTTTGGTAATTATCCAAGATACAAAGTCATTTATAGGGTTTTAGAATCATTAAGAAGCCGACTTTTTTTGTCAAACAAGATTACATCTAGTTATTCAAAGGCTACCTCTTAATAGAAATATTAAAAAAATAAACAACCAACCCTAAATTGCTTTTAACTGTTCCTCCCATCTCCCCCTTACATGCACCTTCCTCCCATCCTATTACTTATTACTTCATAAAATAAAATACATCCCTGTCTTCCTATAAATAACAATAAGAGTTTGTTTTCTCATTTTATTGTTATTATTTTTACATCTTAATAATTTGATACATTTAAGTTTTATAATACTAACATTGCAACATTACCTACACTACCACATAAGTATTTGATCCTATAACTTAAGTCTTATAAATTAGTTTATTAGAACATCCGAACTCGCACGTTTTAATTTGATGTCTTATAAACCCAATTTTATTATAGTATCGTATTATAACAATCATAACTATTTTTATCAGAATTAAATTGAATAGATTTCACATTTTTCTAAATATATTTTAATAATTTAATCTTTTGAAAAATACTTAACATCATCTTCAATTCATGTATTAAGTTTTTAATTTAGAAATTAGAAGTCATATAATATTAAAATATTTGTTAAAGAGATATTGAGGATATGATGACTCCAATCTATTCCAAGATCCCATGCATGTCTTGATTAACCATCAATCCATAAGTCAAAAGACAAATTTCTAACATTGATCAAGGACAAGGACATGAATTTTGTTGTAAATCTCCTAGCTAGCTACTAGACTCTGTTTCAAGCAAAATTAATAAATAAATAAATATATTCCAAGATTTCTTGCTACATATGATCTTTATACATACATATATATATACATATATATATATATATATATATGCTACCGATTAAACATTACGTCGATTAAACATTACGTCGTAAGAAACTACAAAGTAATTCGGGTAATTTGATTGAATCCTCGTTGCCGAGATTTAATTTCTTCTGCACATCGTAAAGTCTTCTCGATATGATAACCACCTCCGATGCTCACTTCTCTCTCTAGATGACAACAGTAGCTCTCAAAAACACTCACATTTACGTGCATTTTGAAGTTCATCAAGAACAGAAAATCAAGCTCCAAACTGTTCATTTCTTTTGTTGTTATTCCACCAACTCTTGCAAAATATGAATTTCTGTAATTCCTGCAAAATATATATCACAACAAAAGTCAGAACAATGACCAAAATAGACTTCACCTAAATTCCATTCATTTTTTCTTTCTAATTTTTATGTCAAATAAAATAAATCTTACTAATTAATTTTTATGTGTTTTAATTATATGAAATATTTTAAAATAGATTTTAAATAATTACTATTTCAAAATGAAAAAAGATGGCTACAAACAAAATAGTTGGAATAAAATAATTTCAAAGATAAATTAAATAAAATTTACACATTTTATTTTGATTCAGGACAAAAAGTACAACAGAAATAATTGAGAACTACCAAATAGAAGACACCAACATCAATCATATATTTTGGAGTAAAGTTTGAAGTTTTAAAACCCTAATTATATAAAGATTATCTTCATATGCTGATAATTTTCCAATTAATGATTCTTGATTGACTTTATGTGATATATATATATATATATATATATATATAGACTTGGGATCATACGAGACCAAGGGTTTTTCTGTAAGACCAATTTATTAATTTTGTTAAGTTTTTGTTGAAAAATCATCAAAATAAAGACAGGTTTAGGATCAAGAACTTACATGTCTTCAACATATTTAGAAGCCAGCATGATGGTTGTAATAAGAAGCCTATGCACATTCCGGCCAGTTATCCTGAACTCCGGATGTGATCGGCAAAACCTATCGATATAAACATATGCCACCACATACACCGATGGTCCAGCTCTGGTGTACCGGAATATTCTCTCAAGATACGACTGTATCGTCATGTCTGGTGTCTCATGGCAATCAAAAACCATAGTTTTGGAACCACTCATTCCTGCAACACACTTTCTACCAATTCTTTCGTTTCTAGCCAGAGTTCTGTTGATTAAAGAAGCAAGAACTGAGATGACGAGAGGGGTGTTTGAGTCATTTTGGTAGGAGTATGAATACACATCATATCTAAGCTTTCTTGGAGAAATGGCCATGGCTGATGATGATCACAAACCCTAATTGTGTAATTTGGAGAATTGATTAAAGAAAGAGAGTTTAAAAGATGGGTTTTTCTTCTCTTGGTGTTTGTTTGAGTTGGGAGTGAAGGTTTATATGCATATAAGAGTGATAGAGAGTTGGTAGAGAGAGAGAGAGAGAGAAAAGGGGGTAAGAACTTGACAAATGGAAGGTGGAAGGAAGGAGGGGTGATATGAGATTATAAAATTATGTGTCTTCTGAATGTAATGATAAAGGCCAGACATACCAGCTATTAATACCATTATTTTAATTGTACCATGAAAGTAATCCCCCCTCTCTAAATAAAATATATATCAGAGTAAAGGGAGTCATTTGGGTAAGTGTTTATCAAGTTATATTATTTTATCGGATGAATATAGTAAGAACAAAAAATCTTATGCGATAAAAACGAGGCAAGGATTGAGAGTCTTATCCGCTAAATGAGGGCAATGACTCTTACCACGGTCAGTTCTTACCGGATAAATTGTTGCATAGAAAGCCGTTTTTATTGAGTAAAATCTTACCCGGTAAGTAAATAATAGTACTGAATTTTACCGGCAACTGCTTACCGGATAAGTGTTTGGTAAACGACCCCTAAACTGTGTTTTTCGTTCATGTGTTTTAGCGTTTATAATGATTTTCGTCCCTGATCTTTAAAATTATGTAGGTTATAAGAATGAAAATCGTTATAAACACTAATCATAGGATCGAAAATCATATTTTGCTCTAATATTATAAAAATTGTATCACATCAACTATTAAAATTAAAATAGTTTGTTAAAAAAGTTAACCTAAAAAGAAGTTAATTAGCGGGATCTTCAATAGGTTTTTATATTTTTTTTTTTAAATCGAGAAATTAAGGTTAAAACTTTTAAAAGAATTTAAGGGTTATTTATTTACCTCTTAATAGTTTTATTAAGAGACAATCTCTGTATCATTAAGAGATTAATCTTGTTTAAAAAAAATCTGACTCTTAATAATTTTAAAACACTCTGAATTGTTTTGTATCATGGGTTTCCCTTAACCATTAAACACCATAATTTCATTGTAAACAATTACCAAACAATTATATGTCATTTTTTATTATATAATGAAAGTCTCTTAATCATTCTGTACCAAATTATTCAACAACTGCCAAACAATTGCTTACATTCAACTTCATTAGATTTTTATGTTTTAAAGATTGAGCATAAATTAGATTATTATAATATTATTTAATTTTATCATACCTAGTACACTTTTTAAAACGAGTAAATTACAAATTTCGTCCATGTGGTTGTACGAAAGTTATAGTTCAAGTCCCTCAAACAAAATAATTATACATATCAACACTGTGGTTTCAATTTTATTATAAATTAGGTCTCTACTTTTAACTCCGTTAACCTTACTTCCATTAAGTCAGGGGCGTTTTTGTCTTTTTACAAATAAATTTCATTTTCTTTAAAAAAATAAAAATTATGTAACTTATTATGTAATATAATATATAGTACATATAAATACCAACACACACAAAACCTTACAAAATATGGACTCACCATTCGCTTCCGGTCTCTTCCATTGTTTTCGTTCACCTCACCATCCTCCTCGGGTCTCCTCCACCGTTTCTGTTGACTTCCACCCCTACCACATCACCGTCCTCGACTCTCCTCCATCGTTTCCGGTCACCTACACCCCCACATTATTATGCTTATTCAGTCTCCTTCCTCCCAGCACATCACCGTCCTCCTTCTCCAGATGCGTAAAACTTCAAAATCTTTAGATGCGTAAAACTTCAAATTATTTGCTCGAATTAGACTTGCTAAATTTGTAGGGTTTTGTGTTCTATAAGGTTTTTGAGATATTTGACTACGATTTAGAAAAACTCCCCCCCCCCCCTCCTCCTTAAACTTTACAGATTTTGAATGAACACATCTGGGATCAGTCATTATCTTCTTCAATTAAGCAATAATTAAAGGTTAATTTTGAATAATGCAACTCAAATGAAAGGGGTTGATAATAAAAAATCAACCTTTACAATTGCATTTTTTGAGAAGAGCTGTGAAATCTGGCAAGTTGAATCATCAACATCAACCAAAAGATTTGATAAGAACTTCTCAAAGGAAGGGATTTGGCCGATGAGGGACGATGTTGAGTCGGTGAAATATATATATATATATATATCATTTTATTTTTAAAAAAGTACAAGGACACCATTACCCCTAATTTCATGAAGTAATGGGTAGTGGAGTTAAGGCAATAGACTCAATCTATAACAAAAATGGAACCATGGTGACCATACATGTAATTATTTTATTTTAAAGACTTAATCGAAAATATTAATAACCATAGGGACTAAATTTGTAATTTACTCAAACTTTGTATAAGATAACAATAATTCAATCCTATCGGTGGGATTGAATAAAATATTCCCCCTCCCCTCTCCTCTCCTTGATATTCAAGTTTTAGAGAATTTTTTAAATTTGTTTTTCCATATATTTTCTCTATTTTAGAGAACATTTCCTAAAATGATCTCTTAGTGTGTTTTTTGAAGCAAAAGTATCAGTTTTCAATCACTTATCATAGTTAACATTTGCAATTTTAATTCACAAAAAATACGTATCGATTGAGTCATTGAGTCGTTATGATTTGGCTTTGATCATGTAATGTTTTAAAAAATTTATAATGGCCAACCGCTACAACAAAATGGGGTTTATAGGACACTCCCAAATTCTAAGCGTCATAATATACCTCTTTATAGTTTATAGGACCAAAAAAATAAAGTGTCTTATCTAAAGGTGTTGTATAAGTTTATATGACGTTTTTTGACGTTGTAATAAGTTTTTTAGGACACTTTTAATAAAAAAGTGTCTCATTTAATAAAAAAGTGTCTCATTATCAACTTTGTAGGACAATATTTGAAAAACTGTCCTATAAAAACAAATGTCCTATAAAAATTGTGTTTATAGGACACTTTCTCAAAAGTGTCCTATAAAGTTGCTAATGCGACACTTTGTATTAAAAATGTCCTAAAAAACTTGTCAAGATGCCCAAAAGCGTCATATAAACTTATTACAACACATTTAGATATGACGCTTTATATTTTATTTCTATAAATTAAGTCCTATAAAATGGTCTATTGGGACTAGAGGTGGCCAAAATTCGGTCCCGGGCCGGGCCTTAACCGGTCCCTACCGGGCCTAATCGCGACAAAAACCGGCGGTAACCGGTCCCGACATAACCGGTCCCGATCCCGGTCCCGGTCCCGGTGATTTTCCTTGTAACCGGTCAAGGTTATTAGTAACCGGTTGTCCCAACCGGTCCCGGTCCCGGTCCCATAACCGGTCCCGACCGGGCCTATTCAAAAAAAAAAAATGATTTTTTTTTAAATTTTTGGTTATTAATAAATTTTGAATATGTTATTAATATGTTTGTAATATGATATTTTGAATATGTTTTATTATAAATACATTTTACTATAAATACGTTTTGTTATATATATATACACGTTTATAAATACGTTTTGTTATATATATATACGTTTATAAAGACGTTTTGTAATATATATATATATATATATATACGTTTATAAATACGTTTTGTTGTAAATACGTTTAAAAATACACAATAAAAATACGGTTTATTATATATATACGTTTCGTTGACTTTCGTTGACCGGGCCGGGCCGGGTCGGGCCTATAACCGGTTACATAACCGGTCCCGGTCTTAACCGGTCCCGGTCCCGGTCCCAAAAAACGTCAAAAACCCTAACCGGTTCATAACCGGCGGTCCCTCAACCGGTCCCTACCGGTCCCGGTCGGTCCTGGTCCCTCTCCGGTCCCGGTCCCGGTCCTCCGTCGGTTACGGGCCGGGCAGGGCCCATTTGGCCATCTCTAATTGGGACGCTTATAGATTGAGAGTGTTCTATAAACCCAATTTTGTTGTAATGAACACAATGACATTATTAAAGAAATTTTAGTATTGCTTTAAGGGTCTAACAATCGAGATTCAAAACTTAATCACTTTTATATGTATATTTTGATAGTGCTAAATTAAATCAAATGAATCTCGTATATTTCACTTTAAATAAGGTACGTAAAGTGAGAATCAAATATGTATAAACATTTTATCTACGGCAAATGATAAGGTGGTTGTTTGTTTTGTTACAAGTTGCGGTTTAAAACATTGCGGTTGGACGAAAAAACCGCATTTATCAAATAAATAACATAATATTAATATAGATTTATGACCCTTTTTTTCCTCCTTTACAGAGTTCGCTCTTTGTTGGCAAAAAAAAAATACTTTTTGCTTCCATACACTATTTTTTGATGCCCATGGCCACCACCATCATCGCCATGGCTAGGGCCAGCCTTGACGATCATATATGACTTAAGAACAAGTTTCTTATACCATTAACTTCATTATATTGACCAAAGGGCCTTTGGCCTAGCGGTATCGTAGTTTTTGGTTTCCTAATAGGTTAGGGGGTTCAAACCTCACCAAATGTGAGAAAGATGTGTGAGTTCATTTGTTACATTTGCCGTATATAGATATTATATACTTCAAAAAAAAACTTCATTATACTGTAAAGAAAAAGGCCCTAAAAACATACATCACAATTTCCAAGGAAAGTTTTTATATTCATATGACGATTAAGCAAGGTATAATTCCGGTTGAATTGGTAGTATATCAATTGATCATTGTTTCGTTCGTTGCTTGATGAGTTCATATGTGTCGGCAAAAGCTGTCAGGTGGTGCGACTTGATTGCTTTCAATATCAGCTCTATCGCAGATGTTTTCTCCATGGAAGATCTTCCTTCTTTTTCTAACTTTTCAAAAAGCTTATGACAGACGGTCCTTTGGGTTTCCTTGTACGTGATCTGGGGTTACTGTAACAAAATGGGGTTCTCTAATCGGCTACCTCCTCAGATTGATTTAGCTTTCGATATCCAACTTCTTTCATATTGTTGGTTAGCAACTCGTGGTAAAAACTTCAGTATTTCCTAAACAGATTGGTGTTGTAGGCCTTAGCTGGTCTCTCGTTGTGACTTAGTCTTTCCTTTGGGTTTCTTCTATCCTTTTTTCGGCTCGTTAACTTGTGTTTAAGCATTGTTTCATTTCGT